GGCTTTGTGGTCGGACACGAAGCGAACTTGACTGCGAAGATTCTTGAGCATGAACTGCCTCCATTGTTGTTGTTCGTCTTTCGTGAGTTTGGCCTCTTCTGCGGCCGAAGCAGCCGAACCAGTGCCCGTCGACGATGCTGGGGCATCGCCAGACCCTGCCGGAGCAGCCGGGACTTCAAACAGAACTTCGGCGGGCTTAGACTCCTTTCTCAAGGCTGCCTCGATATCCTCTATTTTTTTCTTGATGCTGGGATAACCGAGCACGTCAGCGCATTCATGCTTCGATTTCAAGGCATCTCTGTACCGGCCATCAAAAGTGTCAAGGTACACTAGCTGTTCCAGCAGTTCTGCTGCCAGAACAACTGAGTCTTTTGCGCCCAAGATCCAGGCCGTATCAGCCTGAGTTTCTTCTTTGTACGGGTTGTACTTGCTTCGTACGTGAGTGAAGCTGCTGAAAGCTGACCGCAGGTCTTCTTTGGTTTTGCCCGGAAACGTGCTTCCAGTGAGCCATTCCTCGAGCAAGTGGTTCTTCACGGCCAGCTTGAGCTTCAAGATTTCCACGTAGCCTGATTATCGCAAGTTATGGCAAAGTTTAAGTTACCATAATTTTTGCATCTAGATGATTATAATGATATTTATTACTATAAAAGCAAACTACTTGAAAATGAGCCCAGAAAAATTGATCACGAAGGTCCGAGACACTGTTCCGAGCGTCTCGCAGCTTGCTCACGGCGAAGAAGCCTGGCTCGACGAAGCCTTTGCGAAAACCATCTATCATTCCTTCCACTGCCCAAGTGATGTGCTGTGGGGTCTGTGCCTTGTCAATGATGGCTTGGAAAGCATAGATGCTGGACAGTGGGTTGCCCTTCAAGTACTGGGCATCCAGCTCCTCCAGCAAAACACTGCAAGCTGGAATACTCAGCAGTCTGTCGTGCACGGTTATGGCGCTGTCCACGAATGATTCCGAGATGATCTCGGAGCCAGCCGAAGCTTTCAGGTGCTTCTGATAGGCACTGGCCACGGCGGCAGCCCCCAGTGTAGTTTTCAGGGCAGCCTCCTTGCTGGCTTTGAAGCCTGCTACGTCGTAGATCCGCTGCCGCACCGAAAGCCGAACAGTGATGCCACGCTCAACCATTTCCTCCCGTAGGTTTTGAGCACGCCAAAATCTTGCTTCACCCTGTGGGACGAGCTCAAAGCGAAACGGTGTGGTGAGCAGCAGTTCTTTCCATCGACGAAGAATAGGTTCAGGTGCCTTTGCGGAGATAGCCTCGTGGATGGAAAACAACAGAGCATGGCAGGGCTCGGCCGGAGACAGCCGCTGAAAGCTGCCTTTCTTGTGAAATTCTTCGTCACAGGCGGCCGAAACAGCCGCAACGATTTCATACGTGAATTCTTTCGGTGGATCCATGGGCGGCAGGTAAAAGCGCTGGATTTCCTGCACCTGCCCCTTGTTGATCGGAACCCGATGGTTTGCCATCCAGACTTGATCGCACCAAAAGAAGTTCCCGCCGCAGGAGTAGTGGGCTGTGGCATCCCTCTGGAAGACCTTGACAGCTTGGCCGATCGCGAAAGGCTCTTGATGCCCGCCCTGAGCAATCGTGAGCGGTTCTGCCGCATCGATCCCGTCAAAAACAGAACAGTCGCGGATCGCTTTAAGGGCCTCGTGCACGCGGATCAAGTGTTCCGCGCACAGGTTGCCCTGAGAATTGTCCGCCCAGGCCGAATCAGCCATGGCCGTCACTCCTTCAATTGACTTGGCCTTTGCCTTTGCCTTTGCCTTTTCCTTGGGGTTTTTTTCGGTGGCATTTCCACCTCAGCTGGCCACACTGGCCGTGTCAGCCAGGCTACAACCTTCTTTGTTTTGTCAGTTATGGCCGCTGCAGCCAGGAGTGGCCGAGGCAGCCAGGAGTGTGTTTGCTTTGCAACTTGAGTTGTAACAGCTGCGGGTGGTTCTGATTCAGCATGCGTGGCTAAAAAAATGGGTTCTAGGACTGTCAGACTTACGGTTTTAGAGCAATTTAGGGGTTATAAGGGTCTGAAGGCTTCGGAAGGATTGAAACGTTAGGAAATTTTAAACCTTAAATACGAGGGAAGTGTTCCAAGGAATTTAGGGTGCTCTAAGGGTAAGGATTTAAAACTTGCGGGACATTTAGGGAATAAGGGGTTTAGGGAAACTTTAAGTGAGTCATTAAACCCTATACCACCAAACCCTCCCACAGCTTTTTTTCCTCTCAGCGGCGGCGGTGCTGTTCGCACCGGTAGTCCCAGTCCAAAGACTGCTGTCGCTCGCAGCATTGGCGACAAAGCTGTCCTGGGCAATATGCTCCAGGTTGATTCTTTTCACAGCGCTTGCAGTAAGCGGTAGCCGTCACTTTGGGACCTGTTGGACGGTTCCCACCGGCGGCGCGGTACGCCTCTGCTCGCTGCTTCTTCCTCGACATCCACTGCGAGTCCGGATGCCTTCCCTGCCAGGAAGGCTCCGGACTCCGACGTCCCTGCCAGGACGACGATGCCGCCTGTGCGTTTCGAGCTGCCGTTTCAGCTCGCCGGGCGTAGTCGGTGGCCCGCTCCAGCATCTCCTCCATCTCAGAGAGGGCACGGCTGGATGGCACTTCGCTGTCACCGCCAGCCGTTTTTTTTTTTCCCACCCCCCCCACGAAGTCTGAGACCAGCCTGGGTTCGGCGTGAGCCGCACTGGCTGCGTGCCGGCCGGATCAGCCGGTGCGTCATCGTCTTTTTTGTCCTTTTGATCTTTCTTGTCTTTTTTGTCTTTTTTGTCCTTTTTTGCGGCCGAAGCAGCCGGTTTCTCAGCGGCCGGAGCAGCCGGTTTCTCAGCGGCCGAAGCAGCCGGTTTCTCAGCGGCCGAAGCAGCCGCAGCAGACTTTGCGTCAACCACGTGAACTTGCAGCGAGGACGACGACGAGGCTTCGCGCTCAGGCTCCTCATCGTCGTCGTCTTTGTCCTCGTCTTCTTCCTCGCTGTAGTACTCGTAAGAGGACGATTTGTCCTGGTGGTCTTTTTTATTTTTTTCTGCTTCCTGCTTTTTGTCGGCAGCCGATCTGTCGTTATTCTTTGGTTCTTTTGGACGCTCGGCCGAAGCAGCCGACGATTTTGCCTGCACAGGCTTTGAGGGGGCCATCATGAGAAACCATCTCTTGACCGCGCCCGCTTGGTGGGGAGGACCGAGTTTTGACAGCGCGTCCCAGCCATCCGTGCTGATGCCACACATCTCGGCCACTGTCAACCAACTGGTCGTTCTGATAACCCTCTCAGCGACATAAGTGTCCCATTGTGACCTGGTGTGGCGGTACCCAGCCTCACTGAACAGGATAAGGGTTTCACACTATGGAGGATGTCGTGACAGTGGACGGCGATGTGGTAGAGGCAGGCCGAGTTATCATCCACGGCGACACGGCATCCCAGGCTTCTCGCCTTGGGTCCTTTTTCGTGCCGGTCGGCGACAAGGTGCACTTGCCCGGCGGCTATACTCGCAAAAGCGAACCAACAAGTGGTTGTTGCTCTCGGGGAAATTCACCCGGCTGACCACCTGCAGCGAGGTCGCACCATAAGTTTTCATGAACTTCTGGCAAAAGGCATATGCCCCAGGGATCGCAGCCTTGTAGATATCATTGCCATCATGTTTTTCTTTCCCACGAGAGCTGGCCACCGACAGCACGCCTCCACAGTCCAACACCAGGCGTTCGGGTACCATTTCACCTTCCTCCTCGTCACTGCTGGCCGGAGCAGCCATTGAGCGGCCGAAGCAGCCACACTGGCCGGATCAGCCAGGAGAGGCCGGAGCAGCCTGAAGCTTGGTGGCCGAAACAGCCACAAAGGACCACAAAGGCAAACAGAGGACGATTGACTACGCTACTGCTGCAAGCTGAGGTAGGCGCGGCGCGGGAGCTATCACTTCTAGTCTACGGCTGCAGAACATGCGTAAAACCTGTTTGGAAAGCAAAGTTTTTATGTCACTTTAACTTCAAATGCTCAGCTATTTCAAGCCGGAAGCGTTCGGAATAAAAACCTTGTGTGTTAAATCGTGTAAAGAAATCCCTGGACGAGTTGGCGCTTTTTGTTTCGCAGCTCCTAGCCATTATGTTTTAGAGGCCTTGCTTCTACCACCTCACTACTTAATAGATTATTATACATTCATGAAATTTACACGCAAGGACGTCCCCGAGGCGAGTTGGTGGTTTTCTTAAAAAATTCCGCTCAGCGGATTTTTTTTGATAGGCTTTCCTTGGTTCTAGCTATCGCATGATTTTCTATTCGCAGGGACGTCCCCGAGGCGAGTTCGTGCATTGTTTCTTTGATGCGCTCAGCTGAATTTTTTTTTGGCCGGCTGGAATGCCTAAGGAGAGGACTATTCGACCTCTCCATTCGCAGCGCAGGGACGTCCCCGACTGTCCTGTGGAGAGGGGCGTGGGGGGACAGAGTCCTTAGGAAATTGTTTGCTCAACGGAATTTCTATTTCGCCCTCTCACCACCCTCTCCTTTCGCAGTTCAGGGACGTCACCGGCCTGCGGGTGGAGAGGTCATTTCGTCTGCTCCTTCGGCCAGCCCGGGAGTAGTTCTGAGGAGATCAGCAGCCCTCCAAGACAGCCCTAAACCCCAAAAAATCTAATCCCAAAGTTAAGCATAAATCCTAAACCCTAAAGTCCTTAAAGTTCACGCCGCAAGCCCTAAAGCTCTAAACGTTGCAGCCCTACCTAGACCCCTAAACCCGTAACCACGAAGTTATCCTTTACTTCAGATACATCATAAACCCCAGAACTAGCTTTACTGGCTTTACTTCATACTTGATTTTAAGGCTCAATTTTATTTCCTAGACACTGCAGCCTTCAGCCCGAAACCATAAGGCGACAATGTTCATGAGATCTAAAGCCCAAACCTTGAAGCGAAGCCCTAAAATCTATACCTGGTATGCAAACAAAGAATCCGAAATATTTGTTTTGCAAGCCAGCCACGCGGACCGTGCTCAGACAGCTCCTAAGCCTTCAAAAGAAGCACCTTGACATCGCAGCCGATGCAGCTGATAGTCGTGGGCCGAAGCTACGTTTCTCTGCTGTCTCGAACCTCGTCAGGGCAGCTTTACGACGCAAGAAATCAAGGCTCTGGCATGCCCTGTCAAAATGGAATGCCGCACTATCCCATTCAGCAGGAGGCATCCAGCGCATAGCTTGAAATGCCCTGCAACTGATATTGCTGGGTGCCGGTTCTATCTGTTGAGGAAGACTTGAGTGCACCACTACGGATGGCGCATCGGACATTTCGTCCTCGTCCAAGCCACCGAGAACCAAAGTGATGCCGTCGGCCAGGTTGACGACGGCATGGCAGGCATCTGACTCTGCGTCCGTTTGCGCCATCCAAACGTGGTACTGCACCGCCATGTCTCTCAAGTTTGTCAGCTCATCCAGCCAGTCTTGTAAATCGCAATCATCTCTAAAGTGTTTTTCTTCGATATCTTCTCTCATTTTACGAGCGAAAACCAATGGTGCCGAAGCAGGCAGCGGCATGAGCCCAGCTTTCCACTGCAGCCAGGCCTGGCCGATGTTGGACGGCCGATTCAGCCGTTAGAGCAACAGATGCTGCCGGCCGTTTCAGCCGTTCGGGCGGCCGCTTCAGCCACAAGGCAACGCCGCTAGACCTAAGGTTCCCAGCTGTGATGGAAGCGGCAGCAGCAGATAGACAAATCTCAAAGTGTCAGTGATCAATGCAAGCTCCAAGACTAGGTTTAGGGTGTTACGAAGCGGACAGTAAATGATTTTGCATTAGAATAATCTAATAATAGTATATCACACACACACAGAGAGCTTAAATTACATGCATCTTATAAACTTACATGACGGCACACCCAACAGTTTTGCAAACTTGACGGCGAAACCGTTTGAGAGCACGGGTGCGAAGACAGCGTACCCGGACGGCCGATGCAGCCGAAGCACAGGCCGAGGCAGCCTTGACTTAGAGCCGAAGCAGCTCTGGCCTCTAAGTCTCCTTTTGTCCTTTGGGCACAAACAACAAGCCTCCTGCTTTCATGGCCTGCGTCAGCACTCCTAAGATGAGGGGCACAGGGATGCTGTTACCCAGCATGCCGCCGAGTTGAGCATCGCTGATGCCTTCTTCTTTGTAGCCACGGAGTTCGATGGGGTTACCGGGTTGATACCCGTCACTCGCATCAATTCATTGATCGTCATTTTGCGGCCTCGGTTGGACAGCCAGTGGCCGCCACAGCTTTCTCTTGATTTTGTCAAAGTTTTCAATTGGTTCAGGCCGTAGGAAGCAAATCGGGGAGAGCAGTCAATGTCCACGGCAACTGGGACCTGTCTGGGATCTAGCTTTTGTTTCTTCCAAACTTGGCCGTAAGCAGCCAACGCAAGGTCTCTAGCCCTTTTCGTCTTCGGCAGCCGCCCGGGCCGGTCGCTTGGCTTCACTGGGTCCAAGTCATCCTCCAAGTTTCTTTTTCCCACAGGTTGCGGCCAGCGAAAGGGATGGTGGAGGCTGTCCTTCCTAATCGCAACTAAGAAGAAACGACGACGGGCTTGCGAGACCTTGAAGTCTGCGCTGTTCAAGACTCGCGCAAAGCAAACGTAGCCAAGCTTCTTGAAAGCTCGCTGCAGTCCTCGGGTTACTGGCTTGAATTTTTTACTTGCGAACATTGCCACGTTCTCAAGCACCACCACTCTTGGCTTTTGGCGAGAGACAAAAGCAACGCTAAATTTTCGCAGTTGCCCCCTCTTGTCTTTGAGGCCTTTCTTTTGTCCAGCCATGGAAAACGGCTGACATGGCGGTGTTGTTCCGTAGAGGTCCACGTACTGCTCACTTTGCGGCTTCCTGGCTGCAATGTCGTCGTGAAAGGCCTCAGGCTTGTGGATCTTTTGCAGCAGCTTTTTGCAGTTAGCATCACTGTCACTGTTAAAGCAAAGCTGAGCTTTTACTTTCATGCGTTTCAAGGCCAGCCAGGCGCTGTCCAAGCCTGAGAAGTCTGATCCAAATTTCACAACTCGTGGAACCCTGGTCTTTTTCGTGTTCGCACTTTGTTTCGGCATGGCAGGCCGAAGCAGCCGGTTTTGCCGAGAGACGACAGGCCGAAGCAGCCGGTTTTGCCAAGAGACGGCCAGGCCGGAGCAGCCGACAGCTTTTAAATTTTAGCTGTGAATTGAGCCAAAAGCATCGATGTCACAACATCACTACATGAAAAATGATTGATTTCTATTTTAGATAACGATAAGCTAAGAAGCTAGGAGATATAAAGCTTAGTGAACTTCAGAAACCGAGTCAAGAGAACGGCCATGCACAAGCCAGCTTCATTTGATTTTTGCTTCACGTCAGCGCAGAGCCACTTCTGGAGAGGCCGGGGTCAAAGCCGTTGCAGATGCGCTTTGGCAACGACCGCATCGTGAACACATTCGGGAGCCCTCGAATGTCCTGGTGATTACGCTGGCCGGGAAGGACGACAACCCAGACGTTTTTCTTCGGGAAGCGTCCGTGTGCTGCTCGAATGGCGGACAAAGCCGTTTTGGCCATTGTCCACTTGTGATTTTCCGGCAGGCAGCTTCGCAGGAATCTCCAGAACTTAGGACATTTTTTGGCGCATGCCTTGGACACAATGAGCACTCGCTTGATCGCAGCAGCCGCCCGCCTCTTCAGTACCGCGCCCTGACCAGTCAGAAAAAATGAAGGAGCGACTTCATAGCAACCTTGCAGCCCAGCAAGCAATCGAAGCCGCGGGTCTTGCATATGTCCGGGCTTCGAACAAACAATAACTGTCGCTGCGGACGCTTGGTTCGTGACCGCAAGGCCCATGTCTGATATTCCCTGCACTAAGTGCATATTGGCCGGAACAGCCAGATAAACTTTCTTTCCTCCCCAGGCAGCCTTTAAGTCGGCTCGCGAGCAGCCTTTTTCTGCCCGAAGCATCTTTTTTTCTTTGGTTCGACGGGCGGTTTCCCTTTGTATCATGTTTTTGTGACATGCTTCGGATTCTTGCTGCATACCATCCTCTATTTCGCGCTGCAGCAAAGAATTCTCGGAGAGGGCTTGAAGCTTTCGCATCTTCCTCTTCCTCTGTTGAAATTCCAGTTCCTTCTGGTGCTTTTGTGTCCAAACTTGCTCGTGCAGGTCAAGAGCAACATCAGAGTTGCCTTCCATGCGCCCAGCAGCCAGCGCCTCACCACGTCGGCGCTTGCGCAAAAAAACAGCCTCCGTTGCAGGCTTAGCTTCTTCGTCTTCGGTTTTTCTTTTGCTGCCTTTGTCTACCCTTTCTGCCGTTGATGACCTTGACTGGCCGAAGCAGCTCACCCAGGTCAGCCGAGCCAGCCGAATCGGCCAGTCTTTTTGCGAGGCCGCAACAGTCGGAAGGTCAAGTAAAGCCTTGACTGAAAATTCCTCAGTGGAATGAAGAGCAGAATTTCTGCGTGTGCCAAAGCCCCATTGGGACTTTGAAAAGCTTTGTTCAACACCGGAACTGCTGGCCCCAAAAGAAAAGTACTGGATCAATGCTTCTCTGAGGATTTCGACCGGGTGTTGGCCTTTCGTATAGTGATGTTGGCATAAACGGTCCAAAGCCAAGGCCCATGCATCTTTGTTCTTGGCATTCACGTCCGTGCTCTGTTTCAGAAGCCTCTCGGCGCGTGGAAACACATCCCGCCACTGTGCTTTCAGCGCCTGCTCGTCCAGGTTGCAGGCTTTGGCGACCCGCTGGAGCTTCTCGTCGGCGTTGTGAGAGCCACCGCTGAGGTCGAACACGTCGAAAGCCTGTGGCTGGGGCACAAAGTACATCATCAATAGTCTTATTATTGTTGTTGTATTCTAGTGAAAGCAACAAAAAAGCAACCACGTCTAAGATAATTAATTCAAAAATCAATATAGTAGCAATGGAAACAAATAATAGGGGTTTAGGGTTTAGGTAACGTTCAGTTAAACCACCCCGGCCTGAGCAATCTCGAAGGAAGGAAATTCCGCAGCTACCGCCGCTTCAGCAAGTTTAAGCCATGCTTGCATCCTGGCCAGGCACCGCTGTTTGATCTCCTCGGGCACACCGCTGCTGTCACCAAAGCTTTTCGTTTCAGAACCCAACTGAAAAACGATGGGTGTTTTCAGTGTCTCCAACATCGTCGATGTAAAGCCGAATTCCGTAAAGCAAGCTCCATGCAGGAACAGTGCCTTCACAGAAGACATATACAAAGACACCTCGCGGCACAGCATGGCCGGATCAACGCTCTCAGTGTCCATCAGCCGAGTCAGCCGAATGGACGAGTCGGCCGCATCAGCCAACATCGCTGCCAGAAGAGCCCGTTCTTCCGACAGCCACAAGAGCCATGCCTTTGCCTTTTGCCCACTTGCGTCGCTGCGAGTCTTGGTAAGGCGCAGAGCTGTTCTGATACAAGCATGAATGTAGAGGCATGGGCGGCCAAGTGGTTTAGCGTGTGATTCGAAGCGATGTGCAGCAGCACGAAAATTGGAGACTGCCCGCTTTAGCACCGTGTCGGTGCTCGTTGTAATTTCCACGAATATACGCTTGATTTCTTCGCTAAATTGAAGCAACTTAGCAATACCCTGTGCTTCGAAGACGCTAATTTTCATTGTCTTTGTTAATCGGGCTGACAAAAAACACCTTTCGACAAGGCTCAAGTGGGTATGTCTACCCGAGCATTCCCCTGACGGGAGTGCTCATGTCCGGTGTCGTGTGAAAACAAAAACACCCTAAACCTTGAACCCTACACACCGAAGGTAGTTTTGTTGCCAGTTCGCAGCACATGACTGTTGATCAAGATGACATCTTGGGTTCATCATGTGCATAGTTCCTCTGGGATTTGGAGAAGATCGGAGCGTCGCAGGGACTATGGTCTTTCTTGGCCATTTGTCAGCACGGTGGCTGGGTGTGGTGTGCTGCGCAGAGCTGTCCAGTGAAATGTGGGAGCTCTTGTTTCATAACCGACAGACTGATTTAGCTGCCATGCCAGAAAGCCGAGTGCTGAATCTGATAATTTTGCATGCCTGCCGACCGATTGCAGCCGTCAGACATGGAAAGCCACGCATGATGTGTGCTCTTCATGTTGTGCTAGGATGGAATACAGCAAAGATGTCGTCAAATTCAGCTGTTGCAAACAAGTGTGAGCCTGATTTTTTCATACTTCTAGAATTCTCACATTAGATGTATAAATGTGATATTTGCATAAACTGGTCTTGTGGAATTGAGTTGCGAAGTTGGCTTGCTGCCAGGTCTTTGTCTGTGTGGGCATATGTCGAGTCAACGAGATATCTTCACTCGATGAACGTTGTACAACAGGTCAGAGATGCACAAAAACACAGGCGTCTTCGAAATCCCAAAGCCACAGTAGATGTGTGGCCCTGAGTGCGCATGTGGCACACAAGCTATCGAATGATTCGCTCTAGCTCAGATGTTTCACTCAATGTGCTGCCGGCTTTGGCCGGAATCATGTGCTGGTGTGGCTTCCTGGAAGTCTTCAGCCTGAGTTAGGCGGGATCGTCTGGTTAAGATGTCGACAGTGGCTGGGCCAGTTTTGGGGACACATATCTGGTGTGACTATTCTAGTTTGGCAGCTGCAGATGTGTATAGTACTGTGTAGTCGATATGCATCAATCTGGTCGTGAACACAGCCTACAGAAACCTGGTTGAGAGAGTAGTTCACCCCCCCTTTCCGAGCCTTTTTCTGCTTTGGAGCAGATACTCAGATAAAGTGCAGGCAATGCAGCATCTGGTATGAAGAGATCGCTTGTGGCATGTCCAGGTCTCAGCTGTGTGCAGGCATGCTGAAGTGAAACCACTATAACATAATTTTACTGGGGGCTGTGTTGTAAGGATGTGATTGTTTGATTTGCCAAGGCCAAGGTGGCTTTTTCTCCGATGATTCTTCTGGGCAAACTTCTGATGATGAGCCGAAAGCAGTTGGGCATGGACAACCTGCAGGCGTGTGGCACGCGGCATGTGAGGCAGTGCTGGTTCGATTTGCTTCTTTAAATCGATCCATACAGTCAGATGAGATGAACGTGGTTCCGGGCTACTTTCGTAGTACAGTGCTTTGCATTCTGTAGCAGCTGTAGAGTCACTGCAGAGCTGCATCGGGCATGGCTGCTGACATTCATGCCAGACACTGCAGTTTTCCAGAGCAAGCTTCATGCCGAAGCATGGTGCCTGTAAGTGGTATGTGTGTAGTACATAATTGGCAGGCTCATGTTGCTGCTTGGTACCATGGTTGTTGTGATGCCAGTGGGTGCAATCAGGATACGGGGTGCCGCTGCTCTACATATAGGCATATAGTCTTGTACACTTTATGCCCATGTTGTGCCTTCTGAATGCCGCAACGGTGGCAAAAAAACTGGGCAAGAAAGTTCGCGAAGCGAAGTTGGAGGTGCTGGAGGACAGAGATTTGGTTATCTTGGGTGCTGTGCTTCGAATTAGATCAGAAGCTGCAGGTATCCATCCCCCTGTTAAGTGTTGTTGAAGGCTGTTTGGATTGCTTGGGATCCATCCTGCAGGAGTTTTACACAAGCCTCTTCAGGGATGCGGAAGAAGTGAAGAAGCGCCGCAAAGAGTTGAGACTTGTGATGAACAAAAGAGCCGCCGAACAGGGCAAGGACAGCCTTAAGGCGGGGGCCGTGGTGTTATTTCGGAATATTCTAGTCTTCCATTGTTGTATCCCTGTGCTGTGGAAACACATCCAGGTCCATGCTACCTCGGTTGTATTATAAAACTTTCTTTTCGAAATTTCCAGGTCGTGAAGTTCAGCGCGCTGAATGTGAATCTCAGTGGCAAGGCCACACCGCTTGGTGAGAAGGAGGCCGGCTTGGTCGTCCATTGCGAACCGTGGCCACGGAAGGGTAGGGTGTAGTGGGGCGACTTGAATAGCAGATATACAGAGACGGGAAGAATCATGCCGATGTGATGTGAGAGAGTAGAGAGAGAGAGAGAGAGAGAGAGAGAGAGAGACAGAGACAGAGATAGAGACAGAGAGAGAGAGAGATAGCAAGAGAGAGAGACAGAGACAGAGACAGGGACAGGGGCAGAGACAGAGAGAGAGGGAGAGAGACAGAGAGACAGAGAGAGAGCCAAAGAGAGAGACTTGTCAGAGAAAGAGAGAGAGAGAGAGAGAGAGAGAGAGAGAGAGAGAGAGCGAGAGACAGAGAGACAGAGAGAGAGAGGGAGAGAGCGAACGAAAAAGAGAGTGACAGTGACAGAGAAAGAGACAATCCCAGCGTTCATTGGCTTTGTGGTGCAGGTCGAAGATGAGCACAACTACGAGTTCCTCATGGGTTTTTTGGCCTTGTTTGCTCACGAACTTCCAACAGCAGGTGAAATGCAGGCAGGGCAACAGCCTGTGCAGTCGGCAGCAATGTGGAATGTGGAAATCATTTGAACTTGTCCTGTGCTGTTTGCTTCAAGTCAAAACTGTAAATTTGCAAAGTTGGTGGAGGTCGCCCTGTGCATCGCCAGCCAGAAGTTTGCCTTGAACCCGTCGTTCAAAAACTTCCCTGCGCATTGTGTCTCTCTGCGGCAAATTATTCAACTTGCTCCTACAGAGTGCGGTGTGCTGTACATCAAGGGTTGAAGTCTTTGCAGTCTTTGCAATTTGACAGTCAAGGCCACTCCAAGCATTGTTGCCATGTGCCATTGCGTTCGTGACGAAATAACTCAGGTGTGTGCATTTTGTGCTGGCGTGTTTTTTGATTTTGCGCATCCTGAAAGGACTGGGCACGAATCGAGAGTGGCCTCCAGCGGGCCCTGGCTTCGTATGTCCTCATGAGGTTTGGTCGTTCTGACAAAGCGAGGCGGAACGGGGCTGTTGACCAGGTGTAGGAGGGCTGGCTTCCTAGCAGGATGATATGATGTCACACAGCAGTACCAGCTGGAAGCAACATATAGAAACTTCACAATGCCACTGGTACGTGCACTTTCTTGTGCTTATGCTGGCTTAGTTGAGACCGTCTTTGATTGTATTCGTTTTGCGTGGGTATTTCTTCTTGTATTCTGGTATTGCTATGATCACAGTTCTCGTCCAGGGCATCTTCGAGAAGAATGGAAACTTTGAAGCAGCTCATCGCTTCCCAGTTGGAGGTTGCGGGGGTCAGGGGTTCTGGATTGAAATCATTCAGTCGTTCAGTGAGTTCAGTCAAGCAGTTTCAGATCGAGATAGCGCTGAAGCTTCTGGGATTCTTTGAATCAATTATGTGTGCACATACAGACACAGACATAGAAACCAACAAACAGACAAAAGGATCAGTATGTGTATGTGCGTGTATATATACAGACATATGCATATACATATACATGTATACATAAATATATGTGTGTGTGTGTCACTGTGTGTATCCCAGTGGACATGTCTGTGCATGTGGCTAGCACGGTTGTGTGTGTGTGTGTGTGTGTGTTTGTGTGTTGATCATTTGTGTATAGATATATATGTATATACACTTGTTATATGCATATACTTATTTACATATGTACATATATACATATAGACATATATACATATATGCATGGGCACATGCTTGTCTACGGGTATGTGTATGTGTTGATGTAGCTCTCTTTCTCTGATTTTCTGTATGTCTATATATATATATAATATGCATATATGTATACATATGTGTGTACATATATATATATATATATATATATATGTAAGCTTATGCTGCAGCTGCAGATGTATGTTCATGTATATGTATATCTAAAGGCTTTTATGTGTGCTTTTATTATGTCCAGTCCTACGTGCATATGTACATGTGAATGCATCTATGCTTTGCGAACATGGTTCTATGTGTACTTGTATATACATATACATATATATATATATATATGTATATGTATGTATGTATGCAGTATGCATGTTCATATGGTATAGGTACATATATATATATATATATATACACACATGATATGCATGCACTTACAGGAATGCATCTATATATGTACACATGCTGATTTGAGTATATGCTGGTATGTGTGTAAACACACATATACACATTTTTATTGGATTTTTTGTATTATGTTATATTGTATTATACGATGTGATATTACATTACAACATATTATAATACCATATCATATGTTATAAAAGACTATATTCTGATGCAATATGGTATATGCAGTATACTAACGTATAATCTAAGATGATGCAGTGTATACAATATACCATTGGGTTGTAACACAACATAGTATATTATAACATATAGCAAAGGTTAAGTAGAGGATGAACGAATGCAGTGTGTTCCTACAGTGCTCTATCTTGTGTTGATTTTCACCTGCAGGGCCTGATACTTGTGTGCAGGCGCACGACATGCTCACCACTGGTGGCAAAAAAAAGGTGAAAAGATCGCCGAGACTCCAAGAGAAGAAGCAGGCAGTTTGAGTACTGCAGTCCATTAGGTCCTGCATAGCGGTAGATTTTCAGTCTTTTTCGGTGAGAAGGGCTTGTTCCATGTAATCATGCAATCGTTGTGATCGTTGGAGAATCTCTGCAGTGCAATTCAAGTCCTCGACCCCAAATACGTACTTCCGGTGTGCCTGTGCAGGCTGCTTTGCCTGACGAGGAAGACACCCAAGTAGAGCCGCTCACGCCATCGAC